GGCACAGATAAGGAATAAAACATTTATTCAACCCAACAATGATTCTCACTTAGAGACCTACCGTAAAACACTAATCAATCATAGGTACCTATAAAACTGTGCTAAAGCGTCGAGAGATCGCCGCTTTTAACAAAGATAACAAAGCAAAGCAACCAAAGAGAATGACATGTAGAGCTGGCCACGCAAGTGATGGCAAGGACTCAACATGCCTCACTTTGCTAACAATTTGCAACAATAACACTAACAAAAACGACAAACAAACACTTTACGAATGTAAACGAGTGGAGATCTTCCGACGAATAAACAAGATATATAGATAGGAACTGGAATCAAGAAAATACGGTTTACAGATGGGGGAAAAAAAGACAAAACTGGTTTCAAACTTCAAAATAACGGGAATATGCGCAACCTGTGGGATAGAAATCTGAATAGATTACTTGCAATCAAAAGCTGAAAATTTTACACCATAGAAAATAAGTTGCAAATGAAGAGGTACACGAGGAGGCAGCCTCATATAAAAGGTAGCAGATAGAACAACCATGAGAATAGTAATATACTTCAAACAATAGCGTAAAAAAATAAAATCCTGAGAAGATGAGCGATAAGATAATTTGTACTTAGTGCAATCTCGGTTTCTTCCTGCTGGCAACATCATCGTGAGTGAATGTGTAGTAGCCGTCACAGGTGGGATGTTCCTTTGTCTTTAGAGAACTCAGGCCATGCTTACTAAAGCGAAAGATTCATGCCCATCAAAAAGGTGCACTTTATTTCGAAAATTACCTTGGACTTGCGGAAAAGCTTTTTGTGGCACGCTGGGGGCTGTTGTGATCTTGCTGGATTGAGGAGACATTGTTCTTTTCAGCACTTTTTCCATTATACGAAGATACTGTCTTTGATGGTGACAAGCTGATCACACTGGGAGTAGAAATGAATCCGTTAACTTTCATCGTTTCCCTATCTCGGTTCACATCAAAGTTAATGCCACTTCCACTTTTTCCGTTATCCTTGCAGTAGTAACTGCTCTGATTGTCCTCCTTCTCAACAACACCCACATTCGTCCTCAGCTTAGGATCAAACTTATTCACTACTCTGCGAAAATGCTCCTGCTTTTGAGGATGCACGATATTCGAAGGCACAGAGATTCCTTCACCGTTCTTTCTACGATCGTGAGCGTTGCACGAAATTCCCGAAGGTTTTGACTGCTGCTGCGATAACATCGTCGTTGGCGTTGTAAGCTCAACTCTGGACTTCACCGGTGAAGCGAAAATACGCTCTTGTGGTCCTTTGCGGCTACAAAAAGAACATTATTATGTAAAAGTGTTGATGGAATATATTTATCCAGAGTTTCGTAAATGTGCAGCAGCGTTTGCAGGAAAATTTCAAGCGAGAACGGAGGAAAAACCCGCATTGGTCTGCGGCACTACAAATAGAATATGCTCGTCCAACGCCGAAAAGGTTATTTGCCTTTAGTAACTAGATCCTTACAAACAAACATTAAGCTCATAAAAATGGAAGCAAATTCTGCGCATGAATACGAAAAATTTTAAAATTTTTCAACTGCATTAGAGCTAAGTCTGACAATGCTGGTCACAAAAACTTTCTCTTACCTATATACGACTACATACGGACACAAATTCGCAGTCAACAGTCTCTGTGGTCTCACCTGCAATCACTTTCTTTAGCAGCACAATTTGAAAAAAAGCAAGCCTTTATGTGGTACTTACATATTCATCATTAAAAAAATAGAACTGACGATCGTATCCCCTCACAAGCGCTGTGTAATGGCCTGAGTACAGTCTATATCCTTCATGTGAGATTATAGCCGTTAGCTCGTAATCATCTTTTTCAGTTTGCGAGTAAGAAAATTCCTTCAGCGAAAGATGCTCCTACAAAGAATAAATTTCAGGTATTACTACTAGTACAAAATAAGGTACATACACACACCTCCACCTGTACTTTCATGCTATTCTTCTTCCCATTAGGAAGAAAACGTTTGATTTGAAGGATAAGCACAGAAGGAGCGCGGAGGATATATGGTTTTCTTTTTGCACGTTTTCCTCCACATCTAAAGTAGACTTTAAAGAAAGAAGACTAAGAACAATCTTAAACAGCTAATAAACAATTTGTCAGTTCAACTACTTCATGGGCTTTCGCCAGGTTCAGCACCAAAGAATAAGACCCTTTCAAGATGATATTTAAATTCTAAATGAAACTGAAAACAAATCTTCGAAATCCAAAACGAAGAAAAAATATATACGGAACGCTCGTACCTCCTTCGTTGATCTTTCTCAAAAAATTAAGCCAGCATCTTATTTGCTATCTCTACATTCTTCACCAAATCAAGAGGAATGAGATAGTAATTTTGAGCAGGACACGAAGCCCTCGCCATCTTTGAGAGTTCGTAATGTCGACCCATAGAACAAAACCCACAAGTATTACTCATATAATTCCATATTTTATAGTCAGATCTGGGCTTTGCTTCAACAAATTGTAGCGACAAGTTTGCAGCAGCAGACTGGGACATTATTTAAAGTGACCGCAGCATAAAAGCAGTTATGGCAACTGATGACGGATCACTGTCATCAGAATTTTGTTATTATTTCAAAGTCAACCTCTGGTGCAAGGAAGTTAGATACGGGAATGGTTACTTCTGTGCTACAATTAGGATGGTAAGAATGACCCAGTTTGAATGGCTATTCTAAAGCACAACGCAATCACTTCCAAAGACGTTGATAGGCTACCCAAGTAGTCTAAAGTGTAAGAAAGATTAAATGGCACTTCACGACAAATAGCTGGGAAAAAAAACGAGTGGTTTGCGGCTTCACATTTTCACATAAATTGGACGAGCCCCTGTAACTTTTCTATCCACAAGACGTGACCTTGCTTTGAGCAAATATATCAGTTCAAGATTGAACATCTCATAAATAATGTTCGGATCACTGCTGCAAAAAAAACAAGTGATAGAATACCTGCGATACACTCTATCGCCGGTGTAAGCTTACTAGAATGGAAGGTTGAAATATTTTGTTAACACACAAGATGAGTGTAACAGACTGATCAGATTTTGTACAACTTTCTATTCATCCAATATAGCCTCGGATTTGGTAAGAAGTAAAAAAAGTAACCTATTATTTGAACAAGCATAGTCCAAGACTTCTTCTTTCATGTATAATGCGATAAGATTGCGCATTTTCGGTGGAACGCCCATGTTGTTACTGTGTCTGGGAAGGTGGACCGACAGATCATTGTGTAAGGCGTAGCTGACTGAGCTGTTTCCACAGGTTAGACAAACTACTAAACAAAATTTATCTGAAACGTAAAATTGAGATGAGTGAAGCACTTACGTTGATATCTAAGTTTGAAACCAAAAAGCTGCATCATTGGCGGAGATGGGCCTTTAGGACTAGAACACACATTAGATAAAATAGCAAGGGAAAAGAAGATAAATTTGTTC